TCATTATATATATGGGTTGCTTGATATGTATTGTAAGTATGATAATTTTGAGAAGATTACTATTAGTGCAAACCTTGGACTACAAACGAGAGTTCTTTGTACAAAAACGCTTCTCGTGCCTGCTTTCTTTAAGAAACGCTTCTAGCGGTTTGCGGCTGGATCCGTAGTGAGTTTGAACCAACAAATTTATGTGTCACTCTATATCATCGGGGAACGGTATGTTTTCCTAAATTGCCTTGCTAAATTTACTGCACGGATGTTTTGGGTTGGTTGCATAATAATTTGTGGGATCATGCCAAAAGGTTAATATATATCTTCTGCAAATTGATCAGATTATATAAGTGTCTCTGAGTATTATCATTTATTTGATATTGGTTAACAATCCCACCATGTGTTTCATAGAAATCCTAAGTGGGTTTTGTAATTTGTAAGATGCTTTTATTAATTCATAAAGTTGGACTCAACCATCAAACTGCCAACTGAGAAGTAAGCACCCAGAAGAAGATGAAGAAGGTTAGAGGAACACCTAGCAGTGCAGAATCATGTATGATTGATCTCTACATATGCGTGTTATCTTCGGTGAAAGGTAGTTCTCTCATATTCTTTCCTACTAATCTACGGATAGATAGAATAGGCATTGCCATGCCACATTCTGTGTACCATAATGCTTCCCCATATTTATAATGTATGTGCTTGACCCACATGAATTTGGTTGCTAAGACAGGGAAGATAAATGTGTAGTTTAAATCGTTGTATCACATGTGTTCCTTTCTCCTGGATATCTTAGTCCATTATTTTTCGCAAAGCCAAATTTAATATGTTTCTTAGGCTCAAAAACAAAGAAGGGCACTTATTGATTTGCTCTTATTGGTGATTTTATGGTGTCTAGGAAGAATGATTTTTACACATAATAATCACTGCTTAAGAAAATTTTTGAATGGCGCAGTTTGAAAAATGAATTCTTGAAAAATACTTAGGGGAATTCCTTTTGGCATGAATTTTTTTTGGAGAACCTAGACTTGTGGAATTTGATGTCTATAAAAAGATTTTGTTAAAAATATGCGTTGGTTATTCCAAAAAAGAAAAATTGTAAAGTTTTGACAATGTGCTGCCAATTATTTTTTTTGCCTGGAGCAATATTGGGAAAAATTTTGGGAAAAATACTTCCACGTCTTGGACTGACATGAAATTTTTTATATACTTTCAAGACTTGCTGAATTTCATATCTGCAAAATTTGGTGTAAAAATGTGTTAAGGTTTTTCCTAAAAAAAATAAATAAATAAAAAAACAAAAAACAAAAAAAACAAACAAAAAATTGCAATCTGAATGCATGTGTATAATTTAACCGTGAAGTATGTATTTTGTGGATTCACAATTGCAATCTGAATGCATCCGTATAATTTATCGGTAAAGTATGCATATTGTTGATTCACAAGAAAACATGTCTAGTATCACACATGCCATGCATCCAAATTGATGCTTAATTGTTTTTTTTAGAAAGCATGATAAATGGACGAAAATTATGATATGTTATCTTGATGAGTTCACTCCATTATATGTTGAGTACTCTACTTGTTTCTCTAATTGTCATGAAACACTTAATTAACATACACAATATCATATTTTTTAACTAAAGCTCTAAATCTTAATAGAGATTTGTTTGGAAAGCAAATTATGCAATTTTGGAGGAAATATGTTTGTTGGGGACCTTCAAAATTGAAAAACCAATATGTTGATCCACTACATATCACATACGCTAGTACAAGATGCATTTCCCTATCTGCGTTCATTTTTTTTAGTATGCAACCCTTCTAACTATATCCCATCATGAGAAATCAACAGTGATGTTGGTTGCATTATAAGATCTTTTCTCGGCACTAGGGGGAGATTTGAAATTCCTAATTAATTAAAGCCGAGAAATTGATAAAAATCTTTAAACCCATGTACTAGCCTTATAGAACCAGAAGTTCAGACATTGAACAAATAATCTGCTAGAAATCCCAAGGAGTGACTAAGTCCATAGAAAATATCTTAAGAGTTGAAATCCCCAACTAGGACTAAACAATCTCTACCATTATGCCAGAAGCATATATTGGTTTAAGAATTTACAAAACTAGATCTAGTATAGAAATTTCATTACTCCAGAAATATAGAAATTTTATCCTGAAGATATTCGTCTAGAAGGCGAAAACCCCCAGTGAAATTGTAGGTGCACCAAATAACTAAAATACTGGGGAAGCGGAACAACCAAATCCAAATACTTTTGGGAAATGCCATATATTTGGTTGATACAAAATTGCCATGTGTATAAAAGATATTTACAAAGCTGTTATAGTTGTCGACAACATTTTTTGCCTCTATTGCTCATAAATACTTAAATCTGGATCCAGAAGTGAAAATAGTTGTATAACGCCTGCAGCGTGCTAACTATTTTCATAGAAATTAAAATAGCAATTAAAGCATACAAATCAGAATTCGCTAATAAATTAAGGCGAGTGGAGGGTTTTCGCAGAGACCCAATATTAGTCATGGCTTTATATTCCGCTATTCAATAAAACTAGCAGTAAATAAATTAGATATGTAGCTAATAGTTATAGTTATCACATATTTATATGGGTAACTTGTTACTTATATTTAAAATCCTTGATGGATTTTCTCAAAATGTGATGAATGAAAATCACAAAATAAGAAGTATAAAAGTTAGTAAGTTACTAACTATGATTTTTCTTATAGTCAATAAATTGACTAAAGATATTTTCTCCCCCATTACAAAGTATGAAAACATATTATCATAAACATGCCTAGTAATTTTATATGTCATTAGGAAACTTAAATATTGTTTCCTCTTGAAAATATCCTAAACATATCCTCTAGTTTATCTTGAAAAATCCCTAATGGATTTATAATTCCCGAAATGAGGATTTATTTAAGTGTCATTATTTACTCTTTAAAGAGTTGCGAATGGGGTTATTATCCTCATATAGAAGGAATAATATGTACCATTATGTGCTCAATAAAGAGTTGATAATAAACTTATTTATTATCTCAGTCAATATTTATGGTATAATCATCAATGAAATATGTAAAGAGCTTGATGATGTTAAGTTATGAGATAAGATAACGAATAGTAAATCAAGGTACAAATACTCGTATTGATGCTTTTTGGCATGAAGTCATCATACTTGTTACAGATAAAAACGTATATAGTTTTTCATGATATAATACCTTGATCCACATGAACTCCAGAAGAGTGATAAAATATTTGTTCAGAAGGTTTGCTCCAGTGACAAGTTAGCAAATATATACCTACAAAATATCCATAAGATTGATATGGGTAGATAAAGAAAAATTATTATATTTAGGGGGAGCAACAAAATATAAACTATAAATAATTTTACTGGTCCAGATGATCATGAGAAAATATGATAAATTCTAATGACAATCCTGAAAATTGTACCATACCCCTTCTCTACACCCTTTAGAAACAATGATTTTACAGGCAATGTAGAATTTGAAAATTGTTATCTTCAGAGGGAGACATGAAGTACATTCACTCGAGTCAATCCTGTAGATTGGGTCTTAAAAGGACTAATAGTTATACTTTTTGCAGCATATACATACCATGTACTCTTTTTCTCACTAGATTTTTCCCAATGGGTTTTCTAGTGTGGTTTTTAACGAGGCATGAGTATGATATAGTAATGACAATGGAGAAAAGTTGCAAAATAATTGGTTAATAAATGAACAAACTCCAAAATCCTAAAGATTATGCAGATTATGCCCTGAAGGCTGCGCTTATGGTGTACTCTTTTTCCCTTAACTATGTTTTTCCTACAGGGTTTTCTTAAGTTAAGGTTTTTAATGAGCCGACCAATACAATATATGTTTTTACATATATCATGTACTCTTTTCTTCAACTAGGTTTTTTCCCATGGTTTTCCTAGTGAAGTTTTTAATGAGGCATGAATATATTTTCTATTGTACTCTCTTATTGTCTAGGTTTTTCCCACAGGGTTTTCCTAGCAAGTTTTTAATGAGGCAAGATCGTAGCCAAATAATATCCAAGAGGGAGTGTTATAAATATATTTTTATTGTGGCCATTATTAGTATTGATTATGTAACGGTTAAGTGATTAATGGCTGCATTATGTCTTCCGTTACATTTGTATATTATATATAGATGTGCTATGGTTGTATGGAAGATAGAGATGGTTGAATAAGAATTCCTTGTCTTGGCTCTCCTTGTCTATTGTTCTACATTTACTTCACTTTTATCTTTACATTGTAATCCAATCCTGCAATCACCCGTTAAGAGCTAAAGGCCAACGGACACAAACATTACAACAGAAATAATTGAATTTGGCTGATTGGAGTAGAAGTGGAAGAGAGGGGGAAAGCAATTGAATAGGAAGAGAAAAAAACAAAACAAAACAAAACAAAAAAAATAAAAAAAAAACCTTATTCAGATACAACTTACATAAGTTCCAAAAAAGATACAACTTACATAACATCCAAAACAACTCGAACCGTTCATACGACCAAAAAAAAAAAAAAAAAACAAGAAATTAAACTGAAGTGGCCAGAAATCAGAATGGCGGGTTTGTGGCTGCTCGGAATGGCCGACTTCACTGCATTCAAGATCCCACCCCTTCTTGGCCAAAACTGTACCTATCCTGTCAGGGCTTGAGCAATATCATCTTGGAATCTAACTACTTGTGCCTGTCACCGTATCAACAGCAAAATTTCAGATTTTTCTTTTACTGGGAATAATGTAATCAAAGATTGTTTAGCTTAGCTGCAATCCAGGCAGGGCCAATATTAAGATTTGTCATTTAAGAGATCAACCAACCATCTGTATAACATTCTCCTCCAAATAATCATTGTCTACAAGGATTTATGTTTGAAAAATTGAAACTGGAAATGGTGAAAATCCTCCCGAGACAATTCAAATTGCAGGAACAATGGAAATTGGTGTGATGCCAATACTCATTCCCCATCCATCACATATCTATAAAGAGTGATTGTAGGCGAATCTTGGAATTTTCATTATCCCATTCTAGCCCATCCCACCAATTTTGTTCGCCCTCGATCACTTGAATACTCTCTGCATTTTGAATACCAAGAGGCAGCTTCCGCAACATATTGCATCCTTTCACTTCAAGCACCTTTAGACTTTCCCATGATGATACATCTGCTTCGCAAATCGCTTCTAGTGCGGGGAGTAGAATCAAATGCATGGATTGTAAGTTTGGAACAAAGTTGTCTGATGATGCATTCTTGAAAACTTGTGTCAGTTTCATGCAACTTTCTATATCGATTTGATCCACTTTTTCAAGCTTTCTAACAGTTTCATCATCTGTTCTCAGGAAATTCTCCAGTTGATCACAGTAACAAACTCGTATATACTTGAGCTTAGTGAAATGCAGCCCAAGCAAATTGCTCAAGTCTGAAAGGCTTTCTAATCCACCCAAGTCGAAGAAACTAAGTTTCTCTAAATTTGGTAACAGATCAAATTGCGCAACACATTGCCCCGGTTGGACAGAAATGCAACAATTAGATATGCTCAAGTCCTTCAAGTGAGCAAAGGGACCAAGGTTGACGCTGTTCCTAACCAAGTTGCCAAGGATGAGATCGACTTCCTTACACTCATCAATTTTGCAGGAAAAAGCATTTACTAACAACCACCCAACTGATTCATCTCCCGAGAAACGAATGTCGTAGAAAGATACTTCCTTGCTATTAACAACCGGATATGATTTTTGTCTTTTAAGCTCGCGGTTAGGACAGACATCAACAGTGAAATTGTTAATTCTCCCAAGCCAGGAAACATGCCCGGTGGTGAAATGAGGGATGTCTTCTAAGACGATGAAAAAAGCATTTAATCGATCCAGGCATAGCAACTCCTCAAACGGTATGCTTTCCTCGTTTGTTTTCCTCGTTCCCCATCTAGCAGCGCTGCTTATCATATTTAGAAACTCCAGATTACATAAGTTGGAAATTTTCTCAATACAAATTTTCTGCAACTTATGAGTGTGGGATAAGCTTAATTGCCGTAGGCTCGTCATCCTCTCAAAGTCTTCTGGCAATTTAGCAATAGCAGTGTCACTACAATCAAGTACTTGTAGCTTTCCAAGCATTGCCAAGGGTGGCAACTCGGACAATTCATTACACCCTTCCAAAACGAGAGCTCGAAGCTCACCAAGTTGAAGAAGAGAGGCTGGCAAGAATTTGATTTTGCTCCCACTTAAGTCCAAGATTCTTAGCACTCGAAATCCTTGTAAAAAGGAGTTAGGCACTTCAAGTAGGTTCTTGTTACCTTGCAGAAATAAGGTGGATGCTTCAACAACAACACATTGTACCTCGCAGTTTGGCAGACTTGCTATATTATTATTCATGAAAGAAACTCTCTTCACTTTGCCCGAGCAAAAATTCAAGAGATGCTGCTCTGATATCCACGTCTCACCAACCCCGGCACGAATAAAGGATTTGCACCTATCCTCCTCTAAGGAGGATGCTATCCATATCCCAACATCGCGAACTACATCATGCATCTTCACAGAATTTGGATTAACAAAACCTCTTTCCAACAAACAAGAGTCTTTTAGGCTCTCAACAATCGTAACACATCGATCATATAATTGCTCATAAGTGTGTAGCTCGTCAAGTAAACCACCTTCGGCAAGCCAGTATTGGACTAGCGTATGAACATCAACTTCATAGTCCTCTGGAAACAAGCAGAAAAACAAAAAGCAAGGTTTCAAATGCTCACCTTCTAAAGAATCATAGCTCCACTTGAGAGGATTGTACACTTTTTCTTCAACCCCTTGAATACGACGAGGCACTGATCTTCGTAAGGCATCGAGTGCATCTTTCCACAATGCAATGTTTCTCTTTCTCCGCATAGATGCCCCGACCACAATTATTGCAAGGGGCAATCCATCACATTCCCTAATAACTGCCTCCGCCCACGGCTTGATTTGGTCATCACCCATCACTTCTTCCCCAACATGTTGAGAAAACAAACTCCAAGCTTCTTCTTGGCTCAACCGACTCAGTTCAAAATCGGTGTCAGTCAACATTTGTCGACAAACGTCTAAAAACCGTGAAGTTAGTATGAGCTTACCCCCGGTATGGTTTTCGAGGCGAGGAATCCCTACGAGGTCGAGATTGACTTCGTCCCATACGTCATCCAGAATCAGAAGAAAGCTTTTTTCTTTCTCCAGTCTGGTGTGCAGTCGAGTGGCTACTCCATGTTCACTCTCTTCCGTTTTGATCTTCATATTCAATCTCTCCGCGATTTGTGATTGGATGGCTTTTAAGCTTTTCTGTTGGGATACCACAACCCATATCACAATGCTGAAAAGTTGATGATTTTCTGTCTTGCTAAGCTCGTTGTTCAGATTCTTGATCAGAGTAGTTTTGCCAATGCCTCCCATGCCCCAAACACCAATCCTCTTAGCCTCACCATTTCTCAACAAATTCATCATCTCTGACAGATTTCTCATGCAAGTTGGTTGACCTTCGATTGATGGCACAGGAATTTGCTCAACTGGAATAGGTGGAGGATTATTGACACCCACTGTCCTGTTTTCAAACTCTCTTCCAGCTTCCATCAGATGCTTTGCTTCCACCCGCCATTTCGCCATATTTTTGCTCAATTTGCAATCCACTGATGAGCAAATGCAACCAGAGGGACTAGTTGTATCGCCATTTGCCATTATTCCTGACTGCACAGGACTGAATTCATTACTCAAACTTTCAACTCTCCTTAACCATTCTTCCACTTGAATTCTTGGTAGGTGATGCTGAAGCTCATCATCTTCTAGGAGTTGTTTGAGTTTCAATAGAGATTCCATGTTTCTCTCGAGATCCTTGTAATTGGAATGGTTCTTGAACACATTCTTGATCTTAGCACAGATGGATCTAAACAGAAGCCGAAATGGCTCTGTCAGAGTTGAACCTACAATTGCAGCCACAACTTCCATCGGAAAGTACTATACGTTCACAATTCAAAGGAAGTTGAAGATTCACTGGAAAAATTAATGAGGGACAACAACACAGAATATTGATGGGAAGACGACTCTGTACGCTGTGCTGGAATTGACCCAGTGTGAAAAGATTGGCTAGTTGATGGCATTGAAGTCTACATTTTTTAAGTTCGATCTTGGCTCCATTTTCACGGCAAATTATATGATCAACCATTGTTTTTTTAAAAAAAAAAAAAAATGATCCACCATTGTTTGAATCACTTGAGAAAATTTCAATTTTGGTCCACTGACTATTGTAGTTGTGTTAATTGCAACACTTAACTTTCAAAAATGTTAATTTAATACCTTGACTATGCAATTTCTATCAATTTTGATCACGCCGGCCAAATTGCCGGCCAAATCTCACCGAAAAATTTAAATAGGTCAAATCATTAGGGTATTTTAGTCATTTTACAATCTTTTGTTTCTTCTCCAATCAGCTTCTTCCCATTTCCGACTTCTCCGATCAGAAAACACGACCATGTGTGGCGGCGGCGAAGGGAACATACATCGTACACATGAAACATCACGAAAAGCCTTCTTCATTCGAAACCATAATAAACGGATAGCCAATCTTTTCGAATGAGAACATACATCGTACACATGATTATCGGCCCGTTTATTAACAGAAAACTGAAAAAAAAATCAATTAATAAACGAATCCTATACTTTCCATAATAAGTAATAATCAATCAAGTTATTCTTAATTAATTAATATTGCATTTTATCTCATACTAACTTTTCAACTCATAAATATTACATTTTTTATTTGAAAATATTACATTTTTTAGTCAAAATATCACACTTTCCTTTACAATAGTAACAATCAATTTATCTTTTATTAATACTAAAATTTCAATAATAAGTATTACACTTCTTATATATCCAATCTATTCTGCAAATAGGAATTCATAAGACAATTTCATAAGAGAATCACACAATATATTTTGGTTCGACGCTTAAACTACGGAGCAAGTTCGAGGCTTACACTAACGGGGCAATGGAGGATCATTGACCTTATAAAGAAGGACCATCACAAAAGTTTATTAAGATTTACTTCTAATAATCTTTGTTCCTAGCGTTACACGTACGTAGTTTAACTGTTTAAGCCATGGATAAAAACAAAAACAAAATAATAATAATAATAATAATAATAAAAAAGGGACAATTTGGTCCCACCTACAGTTCAGTCAACGAAGGGAATTATTGCTTGTTTGAGTTCTCATTCATAAACATACAATGTCATTTTTTTAAAATGATATTAATAAGTATAGAAACCCTAGCAGGGCGTTTGGTTACACGGGGAATTACGTGGGAAGAGAATTGCAATTTCATGGGAAATGAATTATTAAGGGTAAAGTGAGAATTTAAATTCTAGTGTTTGGTTTACAGGAATAAAATTAATGGAAATTTCAATTTCAATGTTTAGTATACATAGGAATTGAAAGGGAATAAGTAGTATAAAGTTCAAAATGCATATTGTTGTTCTGGTATTAATTTTAGGTTAAAAAAAGGGAGGGGTAATTTTGTCTCATCACTAACTTTTTTTCTTCCTAAAATCCCAGGAATAAAAATCTCAGGGGGACATGGGATTTTTTTTTTTTAAACTGTGCATTTATTTCATCTAAATCAAGCGTCTACAAGTATACGTCATAGCCCCGAAAGTGGACTATGGCTCAAAGAAAGTCTAGGCCTTTTTGGCCAACTCAACAAAACAAACTATATATATACAATGGGGCGGCCCAAAAGTGACCACCCCACATAAAAGAAGAAAAGAGCTCCCAGCTCATGTAACACCCCAGATTTTCAAGACTTTTTAAAACTTATAATAAAGGTAAGATCTCATTGAATCCCAAGGTATAAATATAAGCGTACGGGGTGCTATGCCACACCTGGGATAGAGAACCCAAGTGCACAGGCTAACTAACTAATATCCTCAAAGCGTAATTACGTAAACGTGGCACGCAGGCCAAAAAGGAAAACTATCTACTTCTATACTCCAAGTTCTAGCGCGCTCCAGTGACTTAATCTTCTGTGCCTGAAAGCCAAATATATCTGTTCAGCGAGAGATGCTGGTAACCCACTCCAACGCGTTGAAATACAATACATATAGAGATATATATAGATATACGAAAACCATTATGAGCATGAAGATATATCCTACGAACTCTAGCTTTAAAACCGGGATGACTCGACAGATAAGGCCAGACACAAGCAACAGTTATAACGAGCATATGCAGTTCACAATAGATAAGGCAGATAAGGCAAGGCATAAACAATAATCATAACCCGACATGAACAATCCCCAATATAAGTTCCATAGTCACATCCCCCAAGACACTCATAATCACAACTCATCCATATCACAACACATAACACACTTTGTTGGCGCCACAGGACCAATCGCATGCCCATACATGAGGTTCAACGCATATAGCTCTGACACGGCCCCGCAGCACCCTGCCCCGTATCGCAACACGGAGGGGTCAATCGCAACCGACCAATGAACCGCAGCTCATCATAGTGTTTGATCGCAACCAAACAGTGGACCGCAGCCCAAGAGAATGTCATCTGACCGCAGCCAGGAAAAAGGACGAACCGCAGCTCGTATAGAAACGTTTGATCGCAACCAAACGGTGGACCGCAGCCCAAGAGTATCAATCTGACCGCAGCCAGCTTCTGAACCGCAGCTCAGGATAACCAATCCGATCGCAACCGAATTGGGGTAACACACACATAACACATAGCAAGCACATGCAACCCACATTACACATTAGGAAGGGGGAGAAAACGTATAACAAAACCTATACATGATCCATCACTTACTAAGAATAGTCCTAAGGGGTTCATACTTCTTCCACCTAGGTCAACGGGATACCAATTCAACTAGCATGCAATATAATAGACTCATAAACCTGCGAACGGTACCCGAAACATCAAACTAGACATAGGCACGATAAACGGAGTCCGTTGGGACACCACGGGGAACGGGGAACGTCAAACGGGGAAGCCAGGGTCCCGGGTGGGACGACTTTCCAGCGGGTAGCCGGTGGGTGGTGGGCCACCCGCCGGCTGCCCGCCGGTTTCTACTGTTCCGGGCAGCGGGCAGCTGGCCGCCCGCCGGCCACCCGCTGCCAGGCGGTGATTTACGGCTATGGGTAGGTGGCGGGTCCCCTACCCCCACCTACCCCCCACTGACTCTTTTCACACACTTTACGCCCCAGGAACCGTTATGGAACCCAAAACCATGCTTAGACACTTTACAACACAATTAACGACAACCCGTAGACAATTAATGAATCAAATACGAGGAACGAACGGCACATAACCTATCATGCTTTTCTAAGTATAATCAACACCCAAACATGCGATTTCCCCACCCGATAATCCGAGAATAAGATCATACGATACAACCTAGGGTTCTAATCACTTTTATATCAATAAGAATACGGTTCGTCTTCTAATTGCAAGATTCGGTAAGAATAACACATAATCATCAAGATCATCACCCAATTATCAAGAACAACACATAATCATCAGGAACTCCATATAATCATCAAGAATATCATAATTATCAAGAACCTCTCAATATCAAGATTATCAAGATCCCCCATGGGATCATCACATCAATCATCAACAATAATTATCACAAGTCATTAATACACAATAATATGGGGAAACCCTAAGGGGGAAATCATAGCTATGAAAATAGGTTTTGTTGAGACATGGGTTACCTCTTAGCCTTAATTAATTCCTTGGCTATGAAGGATCTTTCTTTAAGCTTCCTTGCTTTCTTGATTTCTCCTAAGGGGATTCTTGGAGCTCTTTTGGGGGTGGTGGGGCGTTTAGGCGTGTGGGGGTTCTAGGTGCTCCCTAAGTTCTCAATTTATAGATCTAAGGGTTTATTCAGAGCTTAATCCTATTGGGGTTAGGGGTTGGGTTTATATCCTTGGGCCCATGGGCTACGGTGGCCTTTTCTTAATTAATCATTATAATTTATTCTTTCTCCTGGGCTATTAATTAATTAATTAATTAATTGGTTTTAGGACTCGTAACACGGGGTGTTACACTCTCCCCCCCCCCCCCCTTAACAGGAAGCTTCGTCCCCGGGTGAAGAAGAAAGTTTTCTCTTAGTTACCTGGAGTGAACAGCTCGGGATACCGCTCCTTCATCGTGTCCTTAAGTTCCCATGTTGCTTCCTCGGTCCCGTGGTTGGTCCAGAGGACCTTCACCATTTCTATGACTCGGTTCCGGGTATTTCTTGTTTTGGTGTCCAGGATTTTTACGGGTTTCTCTTCGTACACTAGTGACTCGTCGAGGTCCACGGTCTCGTGTTGGAGTACGTGGCTTGGATCGTGTATGTATTTCTTTAGCTGAGATACGTGGAACACGTTGTGTACTCGTTCTAGCTCGACGGGTAAGGCGAGGCGGTAGGCCAAGTCTCCGATTCTCTCCACGATTTCGTAAGGGCCGATGAATCGGGGGCTGAGTTTTCCTTTTCTTCCAAACCTCATTACTCCTCGTGTGGGCGAGATCCTTAGCCAGGCCTTGTCCCCGAGGTTGAATTCGGCTTGCTTCCTCTTTAGGTCGGCGTAAGACTTCTGGCGGTCTTGGGCGGCCCTCATCCTTTCCTGGATGTGTTTGACCTTAGCTATGGTGTCTTGTAGGTATTGGGGGCCCAGTGTTACCGGGTTGACCATATCTTCCCAACATAATGGGGTTCTACATTTCTGACCATACAGTGCTTCGTAGGGTGCCATGCGAATGCTCGCGTGGTAGCTGTTGTTGTATGAGAACTCGATGAGGTCTAGGTGTTCTTCCCACGTCCCTCGGAAGTCTAGTGTGCAGGCTCTTAGCATGTCCTCGAGGGTTTGGATGGTTCTCTCGGTTTGGCCGTCTGTGGTGGGGTGAAAGGCTGTGCTTAGTTTTAGGTGCGTTCCCAATGCTGATTGTAGTGA